TTGCCAGGCGAATAAATTTTAGCACATAATATGCATTTATAACTTGTTGTTAGTTCAGTTTCTTCATCTTGGACTTTAAAAAAAAATTCCCATACATCCGACTTGCGAGTTGTTATATTGGAATCTTCTTTAGTTACTAAAGAAGTTAAAGAAACATCTGAGAAATTGTTATCATTTTCATTTGAAATTACGCTACCAGACATTGTACAATACAAACAATAATGTAAAATGAAAATTATTCTAGTTAAAATGATCAACACGTCTTACAATTTATGCGATACAGCATTTATATAGATTGATCGTCCAAACTGATCTAAATACCAGTTCGACTCAGTTCAGTTTCAGTTCAATTTGATCCTCAAATCGAACTGAAACCAGTTCTATGATCAAACCAGAGTCAGACCGGTCTGGCTACAGACCTTAACATTCCTACTTAACATCATATGGATAGTACTAATTGCATGTAGCTTACATAATAAAATTATGCTTTCAAAAAGGTAATTAGTCAGGAAAGTATTTGCTAAATTGATTACCTGAAATTTCAATAATTATAATTTTGCATTTGCTCATGGGACTCATCATGCCCTATTTGCGATGGAAAACATAGGATGGTATAGAAATAGAACAGAATAATGTCTTAGCTATAATGCTTTGCAATTGTGGTTTAGACCGGTCATGTGAAATCGATCATCTGAAAGGTGCAGAAAGATATATAGTTGAAATGTACAACTAAAACAAGCTAGATAAAAACCAGTTATGTAACTGATCGATAATTAACCTGTACAATAATCGATTTCTCATATATATCTTTCTTATTTCACAAATAACTATGACTAATCAGTTGGCTGAGGTCGTTAAATGGAAATGAACAGACGTTCTTGACGAAGATATAAAGATAATTGAGAAGAACAAGGTCGCTGGTCTTGTCTTCATTAATTTAACAGAAGAAAAGCTTTTAGCCCCTCCATATAACCTTCTCGGCAGACCAGCTGGAGCCATAGCCTTTTGATTAAATCACTCAAAGACAAAGTGCAAAGCAAGTGCATGGCCTCATTCTGTTCTCCTAAACCTTTTTTTCTCATTTTTTTAGCTTGTCTTATTGCATCTTACATCTCATATCTAGCAGTGCATCAACCAATGAACTAGAAAGTTAGAAGAAAGTTTTCAAGAAAAAAAATGACTTACAAATCGACGAAGCTATTGAAAAGTCGTGTATTAATGAACCTTTTTGTAATCTTATCTTAGCTTCTGGAGAAATATTGGTTAGCCCTTACTTGCCTGAAACAGATGATTTAATACGAAACACTGAAGCTACCGAAAAGACATGTACTAACGAACATCCAATTTTGACTTCTAATTTTCTACCAGAGACCGCCTCTCAGCTTCTTAGATATTATAGTAAAATTTTACAATTTGTTATTCATTACTATGATTGTTTTGCTTATGACATTTACACATCATGGCAGATGTTTGGAATCGTTCTTACAAGGAATGGCCTAGTCTCAGTGAATTTTCAGATCATCTATAAAAAGTCCATAATATTTTCAAAAAAGATCTTGTACATTTTTCTTTCAAGATAGAGATCGGAATTTTATAAAAGTTATTTGCAAAGCAGCATCCCGCTCAAAGTCGGCTTTCAGAATTGGCTAGTCAACTGAAGGTAATACTACATTCATCGATTATGAGAGTGTAACAGTCTGAACCGATTATCCATGCAGGTCGCGTACCTGTTAGGCGTGATGCATTCTCGTTTTTCAGATATAGGTAAATTAGCTGTTTCTGAGGGGATAATCGTGTCTGATTACGCTTTAGTAGGGAGAAATCTCGTTGCAAGATGTGTACTTGTTAGGCGTGAAGCATTCACGTTTTGTTAAAGAGTAATCTTTCAGATATGAACCAGTCCTCATATATATATTTTACATTGGTTAATTATGCTAATATCTTAGTTTCAACAGACGTCACGACTTATAAAAAAGGTTCGTAAAGCTAAAATAACTGAAAAGTCTACAAAACAAAAGGTTTTAAAACAAAAAATTGAACTTGCAAAGGTTAGAGTTTTTTTAAAATTTGCCATATTTTATGGTTATATGTTAAACTCATCTATGAATATTCTAGGATTCTGTAATTCTTAATGGATTTCATCAAATAAATCAATACTATGATGATTATCATGAGGCAAGCTCAGATTTGCTTAAACGAAATCTAGATAATGATGACTCACATGACGAAAAAGTAAAAAGATTTAGGAAGTAAAAAAGAAATATTTTCTCATTTATAATGGAACAGTAAAGGAAGACAAGGTTTATTTATAAGAAATATTTAGAAATATCATTTTCGCAATAAGAGCATTTTATAATGTATAATACAGTAATATCAGAGCAATGTTAATAAAGTATATTTGTGCGATTTACAATTTCTACATTCATAAATGCATATCGTGCAATATTTTTATGCATTGGAAAATAAAAATGGTTATAGCATTTACTTCATTGTTGGCAAAAGTGATCTGACTGAATCTTTCAAGGTAAGCGTATTAACTGTATTAACTGCACCTATTCCTTTAGCCCACGTCTCCAATTCTCCAGATGTTTCCAAATCAAAGAAGGGGGGTATGTCATGGTGAAGGGAGAAAATAATCAAGGATAATAATATGATCTAATCATGTGAGAATGTTTTCTCCTGCGACATTTACAAGTGATATAAAATGAGGTCAGTATATTTTTTCGATTCTAGTTGAGGGAAAAGTCCCAATATGTCAAGCTCAGAATCAACTAAAGCTTCAGAATCTTTACAGGTTCCAGAGAGAATCCCGTCCATCTCTTGTTAATCATAGGAACCTTGCTTATAATATCTTGAAGTATCTTGAGGATGATATTGCAAAGCAATATAATAATATTACATAAAATATGATTATAAATAGTTTATTTATTAATTATTTGATATACATAAATCGTTTGGCTGGTAATAAGTGATTAACATATAGTTGTGATTACGAAATATAAAAAGGGAATATATATGCAAAATTTTCAAAAGTGCAAAGTGCCACCGAATTTTTTTTCTGGTTTAAGCTGAGCCAAATTTTTTCCGAAATTTTTAAAAAGTGTGCTTGCGTTGAATTCTACTGCGCCCTTGTGACTCGCTCAACCATCTGGAAATTTTTATCCGGGGACTTGAAATGTTGTCTTATGGAAATCCTAATTGTCACTTCTAAATTTATTTTTAGAGTTAATAAATACAAAGATGCTAATAAAAAGTTAAGATAATCAATCATTGGTAAGATGCAAAAAGTTCATGAAGGATATTCTGCCCATAATTGGTATAAATTATTGAATTGATTATTTTAACCCCATTATATCTTTTAAATCGAATTTAGAAACAAATAAAAAAAAGATGGGAGGAGCAAATTTAGAACTCTTTAAGGTATTAACAACGAAACGATAGATTTTATTAATTTCTGGTTTATTTTACAAAGTTTAATTTCTTTTTTTTTATTTCAAGTTTGGTGTCTATGTCTTTTTTCCTGTAGCTGCTATGTATTATTTTGGTGCTCCCGAATTTTATGAAAACCATGTAAAACAGGTAAAATCGTGTGAAAATTTGATCTTTTTTTCTTTCTTTCTTCTACAATTAATTAATTTTTATTCATCGTCTTTTTTTTAAGATCAAATTTTGGCCAGAAAAAACAAATGTAACTATATTTTAAATTCGTTACTATTTATAAAATTTTTTTGACTTATTATTAATATATTATTAGCATCCTCCTACTACTCGAGAAGACATTTTGATTGAAATAGAAAAATTGAAAGCAAAGAAAAAGATGCGTGAAAATGGTGACGATTCAAAATAATTAAATAATTAATTTATTGAATTAAAATAATAATAATGTATATTACATTACCGGTGTTTAAATTTTGCTCTTGATTTGGTCACCGGAATTTATATTTGTAATTTTGTACGTTTAAATGTTATAGATTTCAAATTTTTCTTCATTTATGAGTTCTTTCTCTGAACTTTTCTCGTTAATTATAGTTAAAAGATGTGGTGTATTTGGCATCTGTACATACCCTTTCATTCCTCCGCCACCTTCACTCTTTTTTCCCAGTCCGCCATGATGTTCCCCACCAATATTTGATTTGTCTGTTGCGCTTTGATTATAATTCACTGTCAAACGCCATCGATTTATATCATAAACACCGGACCTAATAAAACATGCTTTAACTACAAATGTTTGTTCTTCATTAGCTGATAATGTAGCATATTTAAATGTTGATCCTATCCAATGAAATATCATTGGTGTTATGGCTTTATGAAGTGCATTGCTAAAAAAAAAAAAAAAAATTTAATATGGTTATTAATTAGAATCGTTCATTATACAGCTGTTTACCTTCGATTTGTATCATTTTGATCAGATGAAATCAACTCCAATGTAAACCCAATTCTCTTATTCCAAGAACAATTTTTTATTGATATTGTTACGGGAACAATACAAAAGCTATTGAAAGAATAATAAAAAAAAAATTGTAATTCAAAATATTAGATTATATTTAATAAAATGTTCGATTTGTAAATCTAGTTACCTTTGAAATTCAAAATCGTGTTTATATATATCCGCGCATTGTATAACAAGTTTCAATGGACTATCATCTTTAAAATTTTTATTTTTAGACAAACTATTCAAAAGCAAAGTTCGCTCTCTGACAGTTGACTCAAACAATGCTCTATTAGGACCTAATGATGTATTTGAACCTTGAAAAGGATTTTGCTGAACGCCAAGATTTATACCGATAATATAATGATGTCCTTGACGTTGTGATTGTGAGTAAGGTATATTCCAATATAATGCTAAGTCAACATCGTTTGTATTATATAATGTAAAAATATTTCGATGTTTATTTTGGGATATAAAAGGAAATTGATTTATTAAAGTATTGGACCTCCATTGGACGCGAGAATTCATTGAAAACCCTTGTAATGGATTTACTGAGCTAGTAATCGTACGATCTCTCTGTTAAGGAAATATTATTAATTTATATGTTATGAAAGAAATTTAATAATTAAATGACAAATTGAACTTAATATTACTTACAAAAGGAACATTCGTTATAGTAAGCTTTATTGGAGATGGCTCTGCCTGTAAATTCTTTTCGCCTATTAATAATTGTTCTAGTGCATTAGATGTGAATACTTCAGGAGTTATATCGTTACTCTCCGAGTCATTTGCATCATCATTATCATTTGTGGAAAGCTTTTCATTTCTATTTATTCGATAATAAATAAATATAGTCTGCCGAGGTGCTATCAAAGACTTTGAAACTATATCCCCACTAGAAATATGAATATTGCTGCATTAAAATACGTACAGAGTATATTAGATTTCAGAAAATTACATATAGATTTAATACCTAGAAGATCCATTATTTACGGCCGATATTATCCAAGAAGGACTTATTGAAGAAAGTTGACACAATTGAAATTCATTATTTTGCAAATTCTCAATCTTTATATTCATTAGACAAATTAAAATTAATTAGTAAGTACTGTTATTTTTTTTTTTGTTAAAAAAAATAAAAAATAAAAAATAAAAAAATAAATAATTAACTATTAAATAAACAATAAAATTACCTCAATGCCCAAAATAAATTCATTTAAACCTCGAGTACTTGGTCTGGTAAAAGCGTTAATTTTAAGTGAAGGATAAACTTGAGTCGTTTTAAAATAACGAAGACTTCTATATTTCATTGCCATATTATTATCCTAATAAATTTCAATAAAATTATGATTAAATAATTTAAATTATATATATTATTTAAACAAATGTTATACCTCTGATTCATAAGTAAACAAAAATCGGAACATATGTTTTCCAATGCGATCGCCACGAATCCAAATTGGGATCAAGGTTGTTATTCCGGGTGCAAGCGATGATGATGCTGAATCTGAATTTATACCCTCTTTCGTTGGTAATGGAATGTCCTTGATACTGGAATTAAAAACAGAATTTATTGTCTTTAATGTCTCAGTGGTCAGACAATTTGAATCTTCAGAATTATCTAAAGAAATAACATAATCAATACCCATAAAAACGAACTTTTTTTTTTGAAAGCAAATATACTCTAATGTATACCATAAATCACTTTTCCTAGCATTTCTGCATCACCAATACAAAAGAAGCTTGGATGACTTATTTTCACTCGCAAGTCAGTAAGACCCTTTTGTCCTTTGTTGTTTATTTCTAATACAACCTGAGCTACTTCACCAGAGAATAATGCATCTGGGAAAGAATGAAAAGCAACTTCAAGTAATGGCATTGGAGATGTCACCATTAAATCCAACGATCGATCTGTAGTATAAACTACGCTCGTACGTTGGTCATTGGTGTCATTTAAACGTTTACCGCGTCTCGAAAACTTTTTTACCCCTCGAATAAGAGAGTTCAGATTATATCGAAGTCCAAGGACTTTAAGTGTACCTTGTTTCTTAGGTAATACACGTAAGGATATCTAAAAGTTTGATACGTAAATTTTGGTACATATATTGTCGCTTTTGAAATATTACTTAGGTGAGATATGATAAGTAAATAATAATATATTACCGCTTTCGTTTCTGAGCCTGGTAAAGTAACTTCGGAGAGTATTTCCAAATCAAATGCTTCAAACTTAATCGATTTTACATCCGCGTTATCTAAATTATTATTATGTTTTGACGATTCTTCATTATTTATTTCTTCACTTGAATTCCTTGAATTCTCTTCAGAGTTCTCTAAAGGAACATGATCACATTCTAAAATCAAATCATTAATATTTATTTGAATATGCATCGGATTGTGAACATTGAACTGGACAAAAAACGGTTCTATATGTTGAAAAAAAGTAAAGTTATAAAAGGATATTATTACTTAAGCAAGTAAATTTAGTTTTTAAAATTACCTCCTACAGCACAGACAGTTCGATGAAGATCACTGCCCAATGGAGACGGCTTTTTTCTTGGGTTTCCGTAAATATCCAATCCCGAGAAACCTTCTTCTAGGAATTCTTTTTCCATTGTATCCCAAATTTCGTCATATTCGTTAGATTGGGAGTTGGATAACACAACCCTGACAGAATAATCATCAAAAGTTGGGATAGGTAATTCTTGTAATTCGAAATTGGAATCTTTATCCTTCTTTAATAAGTATTGCTTTAAATGAGAAAATTATATATTATCAATCAAAATTTCCCATTTATGATAAAATCAAAGATAAGATAAAACCATACTTTATAAATAATTAAAAATTCTCTTAAATATGCACTCTGTTGTGTTGCTGACTGACGACTGGCTCTTAATAACTTCAAGAAATATTTAAGAGATGTATCAAGATCACCCAAATGAAATGATTGTCTACCAAGAGCGAAGTGAATATGATCTTCAGCCAAAGACCAAGAATGATTTTCAAAGACTTTGGAAGCGGCAAGATAACACCTATACGCATGCTCACGCTTTTAAACAAAATTAATATAATGAAATATTGATTTAAAGGCCGAGAATCAAAGGTGGACGAATTTTCTCATCAATTCATTTACCTGGTTACATTTGCCATATCTATGACCGGCCATAATCATATGAAATGCATATTTTCGAACCATTGGTCTGGCACATCTCAGAAAAGCGAGTGCAGCTTGTTCCAAAAATAACGCACTTCTTAACTCAGAGTCCTAGTTTAACGTGATAACACAAATTATTATTAAGTAAAATAATATTATTAATAATATTAGGAAACTTACTTCACCAGTCATTCTAACTAATGCTGCTGGTGCATCTTTATATAAATTTTTAAATTTCAACATCTCATAATACAACAACGTTACTTTTGTTGCGTAAAAGGGTTCCTTAGAACGGTTAAGATAGGCATTTACAGATTGTTCGAAATAATGATCGGTATCAGTTCGACTTCCAGAAGTTGATAACATTAGCAAGCAGATACCAATCATTTCCTTTATATATAACAAAATAAAACAAATTAACGAAATAATATCACGAATAAATTATTAATTTGAAAGTAAATTAGATGCGGATCATACTTGAGCACCAGCATAATATTTCCATGCTTTATCTGCCGAGAAATCTTTTTTAACCGAATCGTATACGGAATGTGCAAATTTATAATCTCGAAGCATGAATGCATAATCAGCTAATTTACGCATTTGAGCTTCAGGTGTATTATGCGCATATATTTGAATTGCTGGATTAGTAGTATGAGTATTAGACACGAAAGGAGATTGTGCCGATTGTTGAACTGCTGTTGTAGATTTTATCCCAGTACTAAAGTAACGTCTACTAGCACTAAATAAACGACCGGTTATTCCACGCCGAGAAGAAGCTACCTAATAATTATATACCTATTAATTTAATTTAAAATGTGTCAAAATTGATAAAATCCAAAATTCCAAAAATAAAATCCACCTGTTCATTCCAGTGTCGAATATTTCTTTCCATATTAGGTACTATACTTTGCCTAACCAAAATTCCCACAAAATTATGAATGCCGGTAATGTCGTTTTCACTAAGGTATTGACCATATATAACGGGTGATGGCTCAATATCCCCAACAAGACTAAAACCAATTGTACTTTGTGAATCAACTACAATATTTTCTTTACTAAAAATCATATCCTCGTCTAAGGAGGATGTTGGAGAATTTAAGGTTGACATGGTAGGAGATAATGGAAGAGAATAACTTGAAAGAGAAGTTAATGAACTTTGACGAGAATGATGCTCAAAGGAAGTAGATTTTCTAGAAGGTGAATTAGCAAGAAGATCTTTAAGAACTTTGTCCTCAATGAGATAAGGTGTCCATATATCGGGTATAGAATTACTGGTTTTAACAGGAGACGCTTGCGCAGAAAAAAGATCATGATTTTCAGTCGGAACTGTTTGAGGTATAGAATTTAATTTCAATAGATGACAGTTAAGTCCAAATGTTCGTTTGATTTTTTCAAGAACAGCCTCAGAACTAAATTAATTTTGAAATTTAATGAATGGATTAAAATCTTATTTCTTACGTGACAGTATCTTGCGCAATAGCATTAAAAAAAAAAAAAAAAAAAAAAAAAAAAAAAAAGCACATACTGTTCCAAGGTCTCTTTATGATTATCGTGTAAAAGTACACAATATTTCAGAATATTTGGATCCATAAATCCTTTTTCAAAAATAGGCGCAGGTGTCGTATCATTGTATAATTGAAGCAATGTATTTTCAGGATCAGGATTAGATGAACTTATTGCGATAATACCTGAATTTGTTAAAATAACACGAAAAAAGGTGTTAAGGTCTAAGATTTGAAACAATCCAATACATTATTTTATTCTAGATGTTAAAAGGATACAAGCAACAGGATGATCAAAAGATTCATGTTCAGTAACACCAGTGAATGTGAAAAATAACCGCCGATATTCTGCGTACCATGGTGTTAAATCATCTTGGTTTACTAGAAACGAAAAAAAATTCAGTAAATATAAATCACAATAATTGAATTCATTTTATACCAAATTTAAATAATGGAAATACCTGCCAAATACCTTTCATTTACGTCAGTTTTTTTGGAAATTTCTGGTAAATCATCTAAAATATTAAGATTACTACTAATTGATTTTACTTTTTCGGCAATAATTTGAGAAGTAAGTTGAACATCGGGTTGTCCTAAACTTGTTAAATGAGCAAAGCGTATAGTAAAGTTCTCTACTGGGTTCAGTAAACCTTGAGAATCTTGAACAGAAACTAATTAAAAATGGAAAAAGATGGTTTAAGTTAGTACATACAATGAGCAGTAGGAGGTAAAACTTATACTAAATCTATTCAATTTATCGTACGTGTACTTTACTGTTAAAGCGCCAAACTATTACAAACCTCTTCCTTCAATTCGATCACCAAAAGGTTTAATTAGAGAGAGAAAATCAGGAAAATTATTAGTTTGACAGGCTTGATCAGCATCTTGCGTAGATATCACGGCAACCCTTGGACTTAAAACACGAGTGACGAAATCCTTGGGGGATCGATTTCCTTGATATCGTTGCTTAGATTGTATAGTTGGAGTTGTTGAGCGAGAGAGAGTTGAGCCGGAATTCGAACGACTTAGGGGTTCCATTGACTTGAATTATGTCAAATATTTTTGACACCGTTTTTTTATACTTTCAACTGAGATTATCATTTGATTTTCCACACATAACTCTATCAACGAATATATTGATCTATGTGGCTGTCTAAAGCGTATCACGTGATATATATAAATTATTTGTCACTTGTATCACATCCTACCACTTTTTGATGGCAAAATCCTATTTGTCAGACCCATTATTCGTCACATGATTTATTTTTTAATGCCGTAATGCCGGCTAAACAACTCCGGTTTAGACGGGGCCCTCAAACTGGCGCATAACATATATAGGGATAATGTTCCGTCGATCGAATTTTAAGCGATAATTATCTCGAATATAATAAGAAACGGCAATTCTCAACCCTCCTTTTACCAAGTGCCGTAAACACAGCAGGGAGAATCTATGAATTCAATTTATTTGCAATTCAAATCATTTTTCAATAAATATAAAGATTTCTTGGTGAGAGTTATAGGAAGACAATTAAGTGCCTGTTATGTTGGGTTCGATGTAAGATATAAGCTTGGTGACGATAGAGCAATTACTTCTATTAAAGTCATAAAGTTGCTTGATAATATTAGTGCTTATCTTTCAAACTGGTCCATTTGAAATGGTGGCAATATACCTCCACCAGTCTTCTTGATTGGTGTTAAACACAAAAGAAGAAAACGCTTTCACGTGGTGCTTACCTCTACTGATTCATTCTTTCTTAACTGGATTGTAAATCGTAAAACCGTTTAGTGGTAGTACTAATCTACATTGTTTTACATGTCCCATATATTTTGTTAGAGATTTTGTTAGAGATTTGAGTAGAGAAGAAGCTAAAAAAAACATTTTGTAATGCATGTTCTTCCTCGACATGATATGTCGTACTGAATCATATACTTACACATACTCAAGTGCTACGATATTTATTATTTAAAAAGAATGTGAAGAACTCTGAGGCAAAATAGTAGGTGCACGTATGCTCATTATCGATATGTATGTCTATACATAGATACATATCAGACTTATTCACTTTTTAAGTTGACCATTTCTGACAATTTTAAAAGCCAGTTATTTTTCAGATAAGAAGATGATACTTGGTCCTTATCAAATAAACTTGAAATTTACAGGTAACGCTTACCCACCAAAGTCTGGAAAGGTTGAAGCAATAGTGGAATCAGAGGATCAAGGATTCGTTTTATAAGATGCCAATTGACATCTCTGAACCACCTGATGAAGTAATTTTGATTGCGACGAATCAGCGAAAGTTTCGACAAGCAAAAAAAATAAATTGCCATTAGGAGAAAAAATTTCCAATGTAAACTTTAATTGTGAAATATGTGATGCTTTTAAAGGAGAAGTAGGTTATTATTTCGTATATATATCCCAAGTAATATATTCAAATAGTCTCCAAATCATCCAAACTTTTGTAACTATGTCACGTGACATATGGGAAGTCTGGGAATTTTTTAACTAAACAAATATAATAATATGATACGATCGAAACTGAAATGTCGGCGTAAAAAATTGCTATTCCAACGTGAAGATTATCGGCAAGTCAATCACGTATCAAAAATAATGTATGATTTATCGAGTATACTTATTTGGTGATAGTTGATACTTAATAATTTAATATAAGAAATGCTAAGGCTCGAAAAGAAATAGTCCGGAGAGATCTTAACTAAAAAAATTTGTGTAATCGACTCAATTATACTAACAAGGAAACCATTGTGCGAGTGTAATGAAAGGGACCAATCACGTATCGACTCAAATTTCGAGCGGGCGGACATCGGGACATTTTTGTGTCATTCAACATAGACCGTATATAGATAGTTCCTTCGTTACGCTCCGGGCTTCATCCCCATCTTTTGTAACGTGTCACATTTATGTAATGTAAAATATAAATTAACTTTTTTACCATTACCTTTTTATTTTGTCGGAACGTTTTTGAAAGGAAACATAAAAATGATCATCAAGGAATATAAAGTAATTAATAACTGTACATGCGAAGAATATCAAGTATGTTTTGTCTAATACTTTGCCTTTTTTTCACGGGAAAATTTCAGGAAAATTTCATACAATGTCGTTTCTTTTATTATTAGGTAGCTCAGTTGTATACTGTTGCGGAAGCTTCAAAAGACGAAACAGGAGGAGGGGAAGGGGTAGAAGTAATCAAGAATGAACCATATGTAAATGATGAAAGCAAAGGACAATACACGTATAAAATATATCACCTTTCCAGGTTTTGTATAATGTTAAATTATCCAATTTTTTTTTTTTTTTTTTTTAAAGAAAAAGTATCGTTAATAACAGTATTTTTTTTTTTTTTTGATTTAGTAAAATTCCCGCGATTATTCGTCTAATAGCACCGAATGGATCACTTGAATTATATGAGGAGGCATGGAATGCTTTCCCTCATTGTAAAACTGTTTTGACTGTGGGTATTAAAGAACATTCACATGTGATGATTCGTTAAAATTTTGAATTAATATATTTTTTTCTGAATTTAAAATAGAATGGATATATGAAGGGAAATTTTAAATTAGTTACAGAGACAATGCATGTTGATAACAGTCGTGGTGAAATCGAAAACGCTTTGAACATCCCTAAAGATTTGCTTGAAAAACGAAAAAGTGTGATCATTGATATTGCAAATGATTGCATTGATCAAAAAGATTATAGAGAGGATCAAGATCCAACTTTATATCATTCCGAAAAAACCGGTCGAGGTCCTTTGAAAGGTGACTGGATTAAGACAGTTACACCGGTTATGACTTGTTATAAACTAGTTACTGTTGAATTTAAGTGGTTTGGCATGCAAAGTAAAATCGAGTCTTTCATTCAAAGTAAAATGCAATCATTGTTCACAAAATTTCACAGACAACTTTTTTGCTGCACTGATAAATGGTTTGGTATGACTATGGATGATATTCGAGCTTTTGAAGATAAAACTAAAGATGATCTGGACGAGGTATTTCTACAAATCCAATTTATTCTTTGAATAAATTTATTTCTTTATATATTTATGTATATAATTTCTTTTTTTGTAGTCTCGTTCAAATCCGCCAGTCCAAGAATTTTAAGTATTTTGTAAAATAACTGATTCGATTTTCTCAATAATATTGATTTTGGTTTGATTAGGAGATTAATTAATATATGATTAAAATGACGCAATAAGTTTATTTAAATATACTCAAACTTGAATTATTTATTTTGAAAAGTGTTGGAATAATCAATTTTAAAAAAAAGTTCATGATATGAAATGCTATTATATTCTCCTGACGTCATTCGTTTCTTAAATTCATGCCAAGAGTATGCTAATCGCCATGGCAATACAAGCTAGAGAGACGTATGGACTCAATCGTTCTCCTAGTCATCGAAAAACGTATCAAAATATGTAAATGAAAAAGAAAGAAAAAAAAAATTTCAAACGCAATATTCTACCAATTCTTGCAGCCTTCCAAAATAAACCCAGTACACTAAAGTGGATTGTAAAGGAAAAATCAACATTTTTGAAATTTTCGATTTAAATCAAATTTAATCTTAAACAATACCCTGTTTTGTTTCTATTTAGAAGAGTAGGTGCTTGAGCTTTAATAAAAGTACAGGTACAAATGGTCAATAAAATCACAAGCAATAAGCTTTGGAAATTAAATAATGCCGACTATAAAAGAAGTAATGATCAATGAACTTGAAATAAGAACTCGCAATACATTCATATTTTCGGGGGCCCTTTTAGATAACATTTACCATTTTTTTGTGAAAATGAAGCGATTAACAAGTATAATTGAAAAAAAAAAAATTTGCTTCTGCTATCGGAAATTTAACAATTACGTTGCACGAATGTGCAGTTCTGTGGTCACGTGGCGAAAGGTTGAATAGATACCCTGATAAATCATTTATTATCGATATAATATATAATATATAAATAACAAAATAAATAAAATACTATACAAAATGGAAATGAGAAAAGTTATATTGTTCAATTAACTTATTAACTTGCAAATTTACTATAAATATAAAAATAACGATAAGCGTACATGAAAAATGAACATTTGAATTTCGGAATTTTTTTTTTTTTTTTTCCTTTTTTCACACTAAATTTTAAATATATTATTATTTCATTGGAAAAAAAAATAAAAAAATAAAAATGCAATATATTAAAAAGGTTTGTAATATTAATTAACAAATATAGTATGAATTTTTTCAAAATCCAATGGATTCTTAAGTTTAATATTATGATGGTTCGAAAAAGAATTATCCAAATCTTTAGCATTGTCTAAAACGGGTAAACGAATTCGTCCAATAATTGAAGGTTTTATTCCAACACCACCATTCTATAATTCATGATTGTGTTAATAAAAATCACTTTCCAATAGTACCAACGAAATAAATGACAAACCTTTGAAGGCTTTTGTAAATTGTTTTTTCCAAGCTTTTGAAGCTTCGATTTTAACTCGTTGCTTCGTTGTTGAAAAGTATACATGACTGATTGCTGTGCTTGATATTGATATTCCGGAGTCATCTTTAAAGGTCTCCATTGTTTTTGATTTTCTAATGTTCTGGTAATGTCAATAATTCGAGGTGAAGCACTAACGTTTCGGAAATCCTAAAGAATAATTCCAAGTTAGAAATTCATAAAGGCAAAAAAATGAATGAAAACAGCATTTAATGGTACCTTTAGTAGTGATTTGGCCTCTAACGCTACAGATTTCATCAATTCTTCTTCATCTTGATTCTTAAAAGCCTTGCGTCTCTTTGGTTGCAAATGCCAATCTAATGCATTTAACGCATCTTTACCTTTCAAATGAGAATTCTCGGCTCTAAGATAACGAATAGCAAATTTCAAAGATTCGATCTAAAAAGTATGCACTTATTAGTAAAGTTAGGTTAATGAATGCGAAAAATCAAATAAAATATAATATAACGTACCTGGCTAACTAATCTCTGATTTTCTAGCGGATTAGTATCCGCGTACCTTCCTAAATCGTCTTCAATATCTTCATCCTTTAATTCAGTATTACAAGAAGGAATAGCTATGAAAACAAGATTTAATTAACACTACATGATTATTATCACAATAATAACCTTTACAATATGATAATATAAAAACCTCCGTCTTCAATATTTCCTGCAAGTGTGACAAATTGTCGGTTCTGTCGTTCTAAACTTTCAAGTTCTAGCTGAAGACTTTCCATAGCTTCTTCAAAGTCTGTTTCCTGTTTCCTTGAGTTTTCAAGTTCTTGCTCCAGAGCGTTGATTTTATCAGCCTGCAAGAAAAAAAAAGTTGAATCGTTTTTTTTATCAAAAGCAAATATATTATTATTATTGCATGTAATTAATTACCTGTTTCTTAACAGTTTCCATACGTTTCTCTAATAACTCTATTTTAACACTAGATTCTTGCAAAAGTTGATCCTAAGTGAAATGAAGGTAAGGTAAGTATAAACGTGAGATTTATAATAAATAATTATGCCGATTCTTACCTTTGCCTTCTTTTCTCTGATCAAATCACGAATTTCTTCTTGCTGCAGTTGAGCTTTACGTTCCATATCAGCATTTACAAGCAACTCAGCCTTTATTTCCTTCGCTCTAATATTCCAAGGTGCTTCTCCCTTTTTAACTGCATAAAAATTTGTTATAATAACATCAAACTCTTAAACTTAATTATGAAATGATTAGTTTGAAACCTTTAAAAATATCAACATACCATAGGTGGTATTTTCAGGATCATTTGATGCATTATTTAAGTTGCTAATCTCTGAACATAATGTAAGTAATGACTTAGTGCATCCGTCCCACATATTCACTTCATTGATTCCTAATATGTTTTCGGTAACTCGATAAATAATTTGTTGTAAGCCACTAAGTAATAGCTCTTCTTTTGTATCTTTCTTCTCATTAATATAAGCGGATATACCCTTCCAGACCTATATTATATATAGATATTTAGAAAAAGATTACATTTAAATGGTTAAAAAAATGAACTAACCTCTTGACTGAATGAAGTTAATTTTGTGCTAAGTGAGAAACACATCTTGAATTGAGCAAGAAGGTCTGATTTTAACCCCGCATTTTGATCCGCCATATCATCCAATCGACGAATTAATTTCCTAAATAAATTATAAATTATTTTAATTATATTTATGATTCCTTTGAATTTAAAATAAAAGTCGTAAGTCTCATACCTTGCCATAACTTTACTGCTTCTAGATTGAGAAACCAAACTTTGAAGTGGTAAGAAGAAATCAGAAGTAAATTTATCAATTCCTTCTGTTACGTTGATTTCTATGAAAATTATTGCCAATGTGATTAATATATGTGTGAAAAATATAACCATAAACATAATATAATAATTTCTTCACCTTCATCTTTACAAGCAAGTGCAACAGCTTGTTTGAGATGACCAAGAGAAACCGCCATAGTATCTGCATTTAGGTCTAATCCTCTACTGTAAGCAAATAATTTATCTGCTTCATCGATTTTGGTGTTTGAAAGGTATATCTCAGCAAGATGTTCAAGTTGAGCGATGGATCTATTATAAAATAAAGAATATTTTTAAGAACAATCTTTAACGATGATAAAAGAAAAAAAATATACCAACCTTTGAACATCTGTAATACATTCAGCCTCCTTAAGCTCTTCTTTTCTCAAATGATCTACTATCCCATGGAGTCTAATGGGTTCATGATAAAACAAGATTAATTAAGGGATTTCTTTTTATTTTATTTATATAGTCAAAATACGTACCGACGCTCAGTTCCAACTAAATCATGATAAACTTGACCCATTTTAAGGAAAGTTTCAACAGGGCAAGTATTAACGAATGAAACAAGACGTCTAGCTATATCGGAAAACCATGCGAGTTTTTGGCGGAACTGGTTTAAATTCAGAAATATTATTACTTATAAAATAATTAAAAAAGGTAAACAAAAACAAACATACTTCACAAACGGCCATTAATTCTTCAGGAACTACTGTATTTAGCTTTTCTGGAATATTATGAATTTGGTCAACTTGTTTAATAATTAATTCGGACTTGAAAACTAAACGTTTTAATAAAAGCAAGCAACGAATAGAATCATTTTCAGAACGGAAGAAAGAATCTGGCAAGTATGGCTTAACAGTAAAAAATCGTAGTAATTAGTAAAGAATAAAAAAAAAAAAAAATTTAATCCCTATCAGAATTATATGCACCTGTACAAAGGCTAAATTCTCCGATGCTTGAGTAACATCTAATTTACGAAGTTCCAAATCTATTTGTTTTGCTTGAGCTTTTAGAACAGTAGATTGTAACTTGAAGTTCAGGTCAAGCATAGTCTGCGATTGGCTACTAAGATTCTTTGATTCTGAATATTGGCTTTCTTCTTTTTGACGGAATTGTTCAAGATCACTATGGAAAAGTATTAAGATAAAGGATAAATATTACTTAAACTAATAAAAAAACAAAAGAATAAACTCGTTAAGTTGTACCTTTGTAAATTAGCCACTAATTCACGAAATTGATTTATAGTATTTTCATAATCGGCATTGGTTTCGTCAGACATCTCAATGCGTTTCAAATATTCTCGAATAAGTGTATCTTTATGATCTGTGAAATATATATAAGATAATTAATTAATTAATTTTAAACGGAAAATTAGATGCTATATAATGTACCAATTTCAGCTTGAAGTTGTTTTTCGTTTTCGATGTGACTTTCTTCGAGCTCGTCATTTAATTCTTTAAGAGCTTCAAGATCTTCAATCGTAACTCTCATTTCTTCAAGTCTCTATATCATTCAAATAAAAAATTAATTCCTGACCAGTAATTACAGGATATAGAACTATAACTCTATTTACCTCTCCTTGTGCCAAATTCTTGTCAGTAAGTTGTTCAAGCATATAATCGGCATTCATAGCATCATCAAGTCGAATCTTTAAATCTTCTATAGCATTTTCGGCTTCTTTTAATTGATTTTTCATTTGATCATGTTGAACTATAATAGAAAATAATAAATTTATTATAAATTCTATTGACTAGTCACCACGATATAAAAATTAAATATAGTTATTGTTGAAGGTTTAACATATATATAAAATAACCTTGGATATCCTGAAGAGAAACCAATTCTTTTTCTAAACTCTTGATTTTTTTATTAAGTTCTGCTTCTTGTTCACTCGTCACATCACGAAGTCTGTATAGTAAATACCAATTAGCAATAATTTTATAAAATTATTATTTTTATATTGAAATTTAGATTACTTCACAAGAGCCTCCTTTAAACGATCATTCTGCTTTTCTAATTGAATAATTTCTACGGCAGGTCTTGTCTCACCACTAGCATCAGTCTGATTAATTATATCTAATGAAATCAGTTAAAATTAATAAACTTATCTAATACATAGTATAAATAAATTAATTATGAGAATCGACAGTCTTACCGCCTTCTTGTTTGAATACAGTTAAGTCTACACTGATTTCTTCCACTTTTTCTTTCAATAAATTTACTTCGTGTTGCAAATTTTCGGCTTTTTCTTCTGCCATTTCTTTGTCAAGGGTCATCATTTCCATCGATTCGACAGCTTCATTATATTTGCCCTCATACGCTTCTTTCTCGGCATTGGCATCTTTCAATTGTTTTCGAAGTTCCCTTAATTCTTGCTGCATTTCAGCCATCTTGGCTAATTAATGATATTTCATGCGTCAATTAACCGAATAAATGACATTAAACATTAAAGATTTATAACAAAACATACATTGAAGTTTTGGTTTTGCACTTAAGAATTGTTCCGCTTCAACTTTCATCTTTTCCGTTTCTCTGATCTTTTCCCTATCTTCTTGGCGTTTATTTTCTAATATCTTAAGTTTTAATCTTAATTCCTCATATTCTTTGAGAGGTACGGTCTAGATTTAAATAATGAATTAGTAATATATTCTTCTTGTAGTAAACTAATCATAATGAAATGTCATACTTGTTCACGTATAACAGATGCTTCCTGTAGAGAAAAAGGATCTAGCGTGGGAGTAGATTCACGTCTCATTAAATTATCAAATTTTAGCATATCTGGTTTTGATGCTGACTCGTTTATTATATCATTTTCCAAAGTATCATCGTATAATGCTCCATCATTAATATTTATTTCGGATTCTTCTTCTCCCATCTCGGTAGCTAGAAATGACGGATCAATATCACTTCTCTTAATATCGATACTACTTGCATCAGAATTTCCGCGTGGCCTTCTGGGAAATGTAGGACTATTTGGACCACGACCGCCAAGAGAATTTAATCTTCCAGTCGTTGGTGAATTTGGTCCCCTTGATATTCGATTATGGTTAGGTATACCTGAAGTGTTTATTCGCATATTCCCTGAAACTGAAGGAGGGCGAAGAATTGAGCGTCCATTACTACTAGCTGGGTCATGTGGTGGAGCAAAACTTTGTGGACTCTAAAAAAAAAAAAATTTAAGAAAAAAGATAATTAGTTTACGGTGCTTAAAAAAAGTTCAATACTTTTCACATTTTTAAACATTGAAAAAAAACTTGCTAAATCTAAAAAAGCTCACTTGTCTCTGTGATGAGTTAATCGAACCACCTATAGTTTTTATTTGTGAGGGTCTGACAAAAACCCCATGGTTTTGTCTGCAATCAAAGTAATGTTTGCCAGCAACCGAGCCGTCATTTTTACCCGAAGGTTCATCTAGCTCTACACCGACCCATTTTCCTGTCGCAAAAGTAGTAGGTCCAATAAAACGAATGGTTCCCGTTTTCCCCTGTATCTCACACCTTGCATCTACTGCTAAGTCTGAGGAAGTTGTTGCCATTTTCACGTTCGATACCCGCTCCAACGAGTATTAAAGTAAACTTCAATAAAAAAATTTCGAGGAGCAGAGTTTTACTTATAATATTTAAATTGTTAAAATACATCGAGTATAATATATATACTGTTTATGTTAAGAGTCACATGTTAAGATGTACACAATGTATATTATCATAAGGTTATCTGCGGATAAAATCATTAAAGGGTATAATTATCTTATTATATAATATTCACGTGATAAGTCGTTGTAAATCGACTTAATCAAAAATGGTAATAACTTTAAAGTCTAAATATATTAGAATCAAATCAACAAACATACCATTAAAAATACAATGAAATATCAGAAAATTTGATTAAAAATATTTAATATCAATAATAAAAATTAAATATAAAAATTTGTATAATAGTTTTAAAATTATTAGATTTGTAAATATTTAAATTAGTATAATTTATATATTATTAGAGATATAGCAAATAAAATAAAAAAAGATTTAATTATTTTTATGATTTTGTAACCTAATAAAATGATCTAGTGATTTTTAGAGTTCCGAATGAGTCGAGTCGAGTCAAATTTATTTTATAAAATCTTTCAATTTGATTTGATTCGAGTTATACA